AGGACACATGAACTTTACATCAAACCACAAAAGAAATGATCCTCGTGTTCATAGGAGCACATTTGAATAATAACTTTATTTGTATGAGACTGGATGAGTCATACAGGTTCAAATGAAGCATAAATCATCTTCTCTTCATCTTTTAGTACAAATACATCTGCTGATCAACAAGAACTACAGAATATTCCGGCAACACAAAGAAAACTTTCATGTTTGCTTCTTGTATAAAAAAATCTATAAAAATAAATTAATATCCATCCATCCATTTGCTTCCGCTTATCCTTTTCAGGGTCGCGGGGGCGCTGGAGCCTGTCCCAGCTGTCATAGGGCGAGAGGCGGGGTCCACCCTGGACAGGTCGCCAGTCTGTCGCAGGGCCAACACACAGGGACAGACAACCAATCGCTCTCACATTCACTCCCGCACTCACACCTATGGGCAGTTTGGATTCATCAGTTAACCTATGAATGAATAATTATGCTAAATTAGCTGAAGCATGAATAGACACATTTAGAAGTGAGGAAACCCTCTTCCTCTCTTTCTTTCTTCCTTTCCCATCCCCCGGTCATGTCTGTAATAACTTAAAATAAAATAAAATAAAAAAATAATAGTAACAAAGGTTAATCAAATGGATGATCCACGTGGTAAAGTAAATCCGTTGGGCATCTTTCTCAACGGGACAGGCAACAAAAGAAAGAAGAAGAAGAAGTGATGACTCAAACGCTCAGATTACAGAGGACCAAAAGTGCCAAAATAAACAATAATATATAAATATTAAAAATAACTAAAGTTAAAAACAAAAGTTTCATTCTGTAGAACATAAAGTGAAATTCACATATTTAAACACTGATTTACTTTTTGGTCATTACTTATAATTTCCCTTCAATAATTTCCATTTAAAACATTTAACATTAACATTTGTATCCAGTCCTTTTTATTATTAATTATATTTAAACTTTAATCATTCCCAAAATTTAAAATTTAATATTTTTTATATTAGTAACTTTATTTTTTCATTTTAATTTTATTTTCACCCTTATTTTTTGTTTCTCTATTTATAAATTCTTTAAATTGTTTTGTTTATATTTTGATTATGTTTTTACTCATTAATTTTCTTATTACTTCTCCCTTCCCTTTTATGTTTGCTAAACTCTTATTTGTTCATTTTTTTAATTTATGTTTATTGACTGTCCTTTTTAAGGATTCACTATAGCTTTTATTTTGAAAGAGACCGAGGCAGAGAGCAGCACAGACAGATGACAAAGATGTCAGGATATAAACCGGACCCGATCAACTCGCCCGTTCATCTGGTTTCTGCACCTGTGACTACAGACGGGGACAAAAGAAGCTCAACATGGATGGTATTTAAACTTGTATTTATTATTTTGATCATGAGAAACAGAATCAAGGACAGAAAAGGTTTCTGTGAACAGAGAGTCAAACAGGAGGAGGCAGAAAGAGAAACCACAGCAAACGATAAAAAGGCAGAATACAAAAAAAAAGAAAAGAGGGCTTCATGTTGGGGGGGGGGTTACATTCCTCTGGGCCAAACACAGTCATGAAACTAAAGGGACCTGCCCAGGTGTGCTGAGGGTGGGGGAGAACAGGGTGAGACGCAAAATGAAGCTGGTAGGTTAATGCCCATGCATCACATGCCCCGGCCGGGCACGCCACTGTAATAATATATATGTGTGATATATATACGCTTCAGATTTATGAAAGGATTTCCAAAATACACGGGAAATATCTACGTAGGAAAACAGACTGTACAAAACAAGAAGAATAACTCTGTATAAACATTAAACCCTGTCATGTGTATCAATATATCCTGTATACACTGTAGTCTTTTGGTCTGTAGTAAAGAGTACTGAAGTGAACCCACAGTATAAGACGACACCACGCACCCAAATATACATTCATGTCTCACTCGGCCACCGGGGGGGCGTCGCTGAGCTACGTGGGAAACAAAAGTCAAAGTTCACGCCTGACGTCTATTGCACTCAAACGGAGCGAGTTTCCAAAAACACGGCGAAGAAGAGTCAGAGAAACTCGTACCGCGTCTCAGCTTATCGGGATGTTTATTTATAATCACCTTTTCTTTTTTTTTCTTATTTTAAAACAGGAGCAAGAAAAACAACCAATCAGAAGTCAAGAAACTGTTTGGACTCTTCCGCTCACTTCCTGCTAGAGCAGCTTTGCATGATTTACACTTCAAAATAATCTTTACTTATCTTGTACCAGATCTGTTCATAACAAGCCACCTTAGTCCCGCCCATTCTAGGCAGGGTTCTTTTGATTGGCTGCCGCTGTAACGCTTATCAAACGTGGTAAAGTTTCAATTAATTACCTTAATACACATTGACATTAAATCCATACGATCAGTCTTATGTTTGAAAACTGCCACAGCAGGCGTCAGCAGGCTTCCAGCAGCTGGCCAATCAGAAGAGAGGAGGCTTTTAAAGAGAGAGGAGCTGAAACTGGATCTAGTTCTCAGCTCCTCTCTCTCTAAACTGAACATGTTTAAAGATTATTA